AATAGGTTTTACTTGAAAGAGTGCTTAGCATATCAAATGGTTGAAGAAAATAGCACTACCCAAACAGGTAATAAGTCTGGCCACTTCCCCGCGTCGATTGTGCCAAGTTCTATATATCTTCAATGAATTTGCTACAAGTTCCATCCATGGACGAGAGAAATGGAGCTATCATTAGAATATTTAATTTGTTAATATTTCTACATGCGATAAAAAGCCATTCCATTGCAAGAAACAATTGCATAACAACAAACTACTACTAAGATTTCGGGTTCACGATAATTCATTGACATTGACATGTTCGAACGATCACCAAATAGAAACATTTGAAACACTATCCGAATACATCGACTTTTACATAAAATAATCTGAAACTCCTTGCCCCTTATGCATCTTTATGCTGAGGGAAATCTTCAAGTCTTTTTCATCCGTTAGCTTGGCAAGAGTTCTCATATTCTTGCCTGCCATCAAACTATAATCTAGTTCCACCACATAAACGAACCACATCAATATAACAAAATTTATTATTACTAATTAACATATAATGCATAAAATCTAGTCCCCCCTGTAATTTACGTTTTCAGTCATTTACAATTAGAAGTCATTCTTTATCCAAATTTGTATGCATAAAATCAAAACTTCCTCCCTGTAATTTACGTTTTCTGTCATTTACAAGTAGAAGTCATTCTTTATTCAAATTGAAATGGGGGTTGAGATGGAATCTTATTCGTTCAAAAAAACACTAATTCCTCAGTTTCATCCCCAAAAAACCATTGGTTACAGTTACTGGACAAAGAATAAAAAAAAATTCGAAATCTCATATGAGTCATTAGGAATTAGCTTACCCAATACGAATTAGTTGGTTGTTCATTCATTGCCGATGAAGAGGGTGGAACAAAGCCAGTTCTGGTTATGCGGCAGTCGGAGGTGCCGTGAAATTACAGCAGCTGGACGGGACGGGTTTTAAAATAAACTGGGCGGAGAGATGTTCATCGGGTACTTCTCAGTCCACAACACCGGCCATAATAAGTAGATGCAACTACGAGGTCGGTGACGAAAACCTAAAGCGAGGATGGAATAATTTCAGTCTTTATCTATTCAAGCAAAAATCTTTACATAACCATAATCACCTTAAAGCTCACAGCAGCAGCAGCAGTCGGTGGTCTTCAAAAATGGGTGGCTTCGTCGGAGAGTGGCGATTTGGGGGAGAGTGGCTATTTGGGGGGAGAGTTGGGGGAGAGGTGGGATAGGTTAGATTTGGAACAGTTTCCACGTTTAGACAATGAGCCGGGTATTTTGGTTCCATTTTTGAAGAAATCAATTTTTTATTCATTTCACACCTCCACGTCAGCAATTTCAAAAAGCTGTGAAAAATGCTGTGAAATAGGGCTGTACACCAAGCCTTACTCGAATTATTAACCCATTTCCATTCCAAAATAGGTGGGACCCCACTTCCACACCAATCAAATTTTGCGTACACGTTCCAGTGCAAAGTTGCCAAAATTGACTTTTCAAATGCACACGCCTTTTCTTTTCTCCAATATTGCCCTCCAACTCACATGTGATAGGTTGAATATTTTAATCAATCTCATGGCCACCAAATTGAACGTGAAATCCATTTTACACCGATTGGAAATGCATTAACTTCAGCAAATAATGTTACATCGATATATTGATAACATCCGATATTGAAATACGGGAAAACAAATCGAAAATGACTTGTTCGAAATACTTATAAACGATCTCGCATACATCGACATACTTAACAACAATAACTAATACGATACCCCCCGAAACAAACATGGGCGCGATCTACAACTACTAACGTAATACCTGCGCCATGTAATCGCGTAGCTGCATCCACGGCATGTCCTCCTCAACTATTGCATCTAGTTCGGCGGCAATTTCATCTTCTTCATCAGGTAGATCTATCTCGACTTCGTCGTCCAACTTCTTCGGCTCGTTGAAAACCCTCATCCAGCCGACCGTTTCTCCGAAGGAAGTTATGTATACCCATTGTGGCCACGACAACAGCTGTTTGCGCTCTCATATTATACCCNCAATTTTAAGACGAAACAGTAATATAAACTAAAGACAAAGAAATAGTAGCTTCCCTGTCGTTCGGCGAAGTAACTGAGCGCGAAATAATTGATCTCCAAAGATAATGAAATAGTAGCTTCCGTTTTGTTTGCCGAATGACTGATCCGTAAATTAAAGAGAAGTACCTGCAAAATATTAGGAAAATACTTTTTTTTTTCAACTAAAAATAAATTACACAATATAATAAAATAGGGGCCCAAATCGAGGTCTAGAGGCAAGACTAACTAGACACAAACCGAGGCCCAATTGACAAAAATACTCTTTTTTTTTTCGAAACTAAAAGAGATTACACTAAAACTGAGGCCCAAATCAAACAGACTTTTTTTTTTTAAAAAAAAAAACTAAAACAAGGCCCAACTTTAAACTCAATCAAATTAACAAGCAGGGCCCAAACCCAAGCCCAATAACTAAATAAATGACACCAAACAAACCAAACCGAGGCCAATGTCACGTCCAGTGGCTGGTGGAGCGGTTCGGGCGGCTTGGGCGGCGTTTGCAGGCATTGTAGTTGGCCCAGAACTGGAGATGGCAGGCCGTCGGCGATGGGGTTGGAGGACAATTGGGATTTAGGGTTGGTGGCTGCTGCAATTGAGGTTTCGATTTGTTCTTTTTTTTTCTTTTTTGTTTTTTGTACGGCTGTCTCAGTTGGGCAGTGACGCTAGGATGGTGGTTATAATTGGTGGCTGCGTGTGGTAATTTATCGGCGGGAGGTGTGTGTTGTGGTTGCAATGTTGGTGGCTGTAGTTTGGAGTTGGAGGGACTGATTTTGGGTGGGAATAGTAGCTGCGGTGACGGGAGATTGAACTGTTTACAGGAGTGAAGGGATATAGGATTATTCGGCTCTGATACCAATTTGATGTAGAATGAGAAAGAAGAAGAGGAGGAGGAAGGGGAAGAAGCAGAGAAGAAGAAGGAGAAGAAGCCGAGAAGAGGAAGGGAAAAAGTGGCTATGGCCAATCTCAATTTTAATCAATCATCAACTGAAATCAACTACAATGAAAACCTAATAAATAGCAGAAAATAACCTAATTTTAAGGGTTTGGGCCAACCCGCTAAAACAAGCCCAACAATACGAAACGCAAATAATAAAGTCCGATAACAATAAAATAAATCTCGATGATGTCCTCATCACTAAGTCTAGGGAAGATCTGATATGCTGATCTAACAGATGAAATACTTCATCTTCACAGGTAATAAACTAATCAAACACTGATACCAGATAAAGAATATACCTATCGATACGATCCAAAACATTCTCAAATGACATAATCACCACTGGTATTTTCCGCAAATTCAATAAGCTCTGGTTGAAAAAGGGCAAACAAGTAAAACGTTAACCTTTCATTTCTTAACAACATCAATCAAGAATAAAGAAATATCATGATAAAGTATCAGGGAAAAATCTAAAACCCCCCTTCATTTTGAAATAAAAATACCAAAATCACTAACCTTAATCCTTTTGAGAAGTTCATATCCTATTATCCCTGGCAATGAATAGTCTATCATAATCAGATTCACCTTCAATCCCTAAATTCAAACATTAAAGATTATAACCCTCCAATACTAACAATTATATTAGAAAAATCGATTCTGAATCACAAAATTTAAATAAATGAAATGGAGCCAAAACTTAATCTTCTCAGAAATTATAGCAGGAAAATCAAATTTTTACTTACATCAAAATCAACAGAGCTTTTTTCTCCATCTAATCCCAAATACTGCAGAGCCATCCTCCCATTTTCTACAGTAGTAACAGCAAAACCAAAATTTCAATCAAAATTTCAAAAGAACAAAGAAAACTCCAAATTTAGTGCTTGTTTGGCTAAGCTTTCAAGTGATTATAAGCAGTGGGTCCTAAAGAACACATGGTTTAAAAATAGGTAAAAATTGTCTATCCTAAGCTTAAAAGCTTCGTCAAACATACACCTTAGATTAACGAAACAACCCCCACCCCACAAAATTAAGAAACTCCAAATAGAAAGGGCAAGACTATAAATTTCATCCACACGGAGCAATCAAGTTTTTGACTTGAAGATAAGCACCAACATAACTTGCCCATAAAAGACAACAAAGAAACTTCTCAAACCACTGGAACAACTCTTTTTAATAAAAAACATCATAATTGGAGCTCCAAGAAAATTGCGTAGGAAGCGGAGTCTTCCATCATCGTGTAACCCAGTAAAAAATAATAAAAATATAATGCACTAATTCGGTCTTAGCTAGGAAAATAGGTGCTACTCAGAACTTCAATTTTTACTCTACGAGTGTTGAGATTACATTCTCACTTGAGACCCACAGAGGCATCGCAAACCATGAATTGACAATCATTGAAATTTCAACCATTACACTTATAAAACAACTTTTCTACTCTAATATAACTTGACTAATAACGTAAAAATTCCATAAATGAATTGACTAAATCGAAAACTCACGATATTTGATCATCACACAACAAGCATATGCTGAATAAAAGACTTAAAGGCCGAGTCCAAAGGACATGACGCATTTACTACTTAAATCACAGATATAATAAGAATATAACGAAAAAGGAAAATATATATTACTAGGTGCATACTGATATAAAAATACCTTGTGTAAGCGGATATTATTTCGTCCTTAGTAAAACTATCCTCTTGTGAACCAATCTCATGCAAATATAGGCAATCAGGGTTGCTGCACGGCTGGACAATAATACAAATGATTTGTTATGAGACACTATTTGACACCCATATGGCACATGTATATATTTTACTTTAACTGTTAATAGATCTAAGAGAAAACAGAAAGCTGGGCTAAACTACAACTAAAGCTGAGAGAGTGAATTGTACACAAAAATGAACTTGAAGAAGGAAAGAAAAAGCTCCTCATCGCCGCCCAACTCCCCGCAACACGTGGATGCCTCTCTTGTCGGCAACTGCCTTCGTGGTAGTGGAAGAAATTGGTGGATTTGAATAAAAGAGTGAGAAAAGAGAGGCGGAGACGAGATTAGGGTGCCTAAGAAGCATTCCTGTGACCTGGCCATATATATGAAGCAAGCCTAGAAGTAAGAAATGTGTAAGAAGATGCTTCCTACTTTCTTCATTCATTGGGCTAAATAACGGGCTTCTCTTTTCACAACATTTAATAAACGTTGCGAAAAGTTAACCTTGAAAAATACTTTTTGCAACATTATTTAAACGTTACGAAAAGACTTTTCGTAACGATAAAAAAACGTTGCAGACTTTTTGAACGTTGCGAAAAGTCATTTTTTGCAACACTCATTTAAAAAATGTTGTCATAGATCCCTTTAACAACATTCACTCGCCCAAACGTTGCAATAGACCCCCTTTAGCAACATTTAAGAATGAATGTTGCCTTTTAAGTATTGCAAAAGCTCATTTTTCTTGTAGTGGAAGGAGTTATGAAACTCAAGTAATTGAACAAATACTAGGACCATGTATCTCTTTACATTCATCCATCTTAATATTAATCCCACAATTTGGAATATTTGGATATGAAGATCAAAGTTCCCATCTTGTTCAATAATCTCTCTCGAATAAAATAAAAAATATCCTTACATATGATCATCTCGAATGCAAACATATGAAGATGTGTTAAATTACAAGAGTATTAATGAGATCATACAAACTATAAACAATTATTTCTAATGTTTATAGGATCTTACAATAATTGCTACTTTTGCTAAATTCTTATCCATTCTCTGGAATGTCAAGCATTAAACTTGTAACAATAATTCAAACTAGACAAACATTTGAAGTGTCAAATCTGAAATTTAATATAAAGCCTCAAAACGACGGGTTCAACATCTTCTTATCATTTATACAACTAGCCAAATATCATATCACTACAAGATCTTAAGATAAATAGATACAGTATGAAGATATCATCACCGACTATTCCATCTTCTCTATCTGACATTTCTAGAATCTGTTGGGACTTCCTCCATTGATTTGAGGGCTGGGAATTCTAGAGATTTAATAAATAAATTTTATACCCACTGCAAGCCAGTAGAATCTGGAGAATTCTATGCATTAGAATCCATTGCCACTTGAGGATTTATCTAGGATTCAGGAAGATATTGATGTGTCTTGTATAAAAAGCTTCTTCAAAGCTTTGCAAATAATCTTCAATTTTGTATTCAATAGTCTATTTTTCTCTATTGATTATATGGAATATTTGTACAAGACCCTCCTAATAGGGATGACAAAAAAACTCGTTCAACCTGATACTCGTGTGGCCCCGCCCCCAATGGAAAGGGGATTACCCGCATAATCGGGTAAACGGGGCAGGGACGGGTACGGGAAACACAGTCCCCGCCCCATTTGAAGTTAATTTCAAATTTAAGTTTTTTATCAAACAAAAATAATAAATTTATCATCATTTTTAAAGGGAACATAAGTTATTTTTAACAAATTGGTAAAAAAGTAATAATATTTACTATCTAAAGACATAAAAAAATAAAAGCAAAACATAAAATAAATAAAAAATAAAAAGAAAAATAAATGGGGCATGGGACTTGCCCCGCCACGTCCCGTCCCGAACCCGCATCGTTCCGCTTTAACTAGGTATGAAGGTGGGGTAAGGCAACAAAAATACCCGACGAGATGGGCCTTGGAGTAGTCGACCCGTTTCATATCCGTCTCATTGCCATCCCTACCTCCTAACTTCCGTCCTTTGAATTATTGATGAAATAATGTTTTTATATGCCAAAAATTAGGTCAAAACTCCTACTCTAATCGCCTTCCAGGAATATGTTGAATAAAATAAGGAAACCGGAGTTGTTTTTTGCTGGAATGCACTATGTAATTGCACAAGCATAAAATTTTGAAAAATGCTACCTGTACAGAGGAAAATGCTAGGGAAATTACGAAAATGTCAAGTGGCAGATTTGCAGTGGACTTTGCATAAAAAACAGATTTAAAATAGGTAATCAAAATTCGCCATATCAATACTTGTCAATTTCCACTATACAAACAACTTTATTCATAGGAATTTAATTCAGAACAACAAAGCTGCGATTTCATCTTACACGGCCCGTGATTGCAAGCCTCACTGTTTTGGCCAATTTCAAGTTGGTTCTTGGAATTCTTTCTTCATACAACTTGGTTTATTTTCTAATTGCATCTTTAGTCCTTCATCTTTAAATCTTCATAATTCTCTACATTCAACAATTGTTCGTTGTTGATCCGTTGAAAGTCCAAAAGCTTACAATAAGTCCCCAAACTTTACAAATGATGGATTTAGATCTCAAAACTTATGAATCACCTTTGATTGCGCCAATAATATTTCATATTGACCACATACAATCCGATTGATCATCAATTGCTACGAATCAACTCTAATTTAAGCTCAAAATGTCATTTTCACTCCAATTGTATCGAAATACATTCAAATCAAGGATTTACCCATAATTACTATATTGTAACCTAAATCAGGTAGATATTTGCTCAATTAGTCATAGACAATCAAGTATAGAAGTCCAATTAAATGTATAAAATACACTTGTTCGTTCGAGCAAGACTATCCACTAAATATACAATAAAACAAGCATACATACATATCAATGCATTATCTAGCTTTACTAAACTAGCATCAATTAATAAAACTGTTTACAATTCAAAAAAAGTTCATTTTAATACTACCAAAACTAATTTTCACTTATTCAATGCTCGTTCAATGAGTATATAGATAATCGATCAAATCATCGCGAATATTAAGTTGGTTACTTTTTCGACACTCAACGATCAAATATCTCCTTTCTCTTTCGTAGGATACACACCCCAAATTTTATTTTTTTTTCATTTTAATTTTAATGTTTATTATAAGGTTGATTTCACTACACTCATTCCTTTCCCACTCAAGTTTAGTTGGGTGTCACTAATGAAAGTTACTATCTCGATATATGATGATTCTTCCTAAACTTCAACTAGGATAATAACCTCACTAGAAACATAAATCTCAAATTAAGTATTCAAGGCTTAGTCAAACAAAATCAATGCTTATAGATATTTTGTAACTGCATCAAAACACTTTGATGTATTTTTCTTTTATTTTACTTTTTCATTGTAGCACTTTCTTCTATCTTTGAGATATTTTCTTTAATTATCAAAGTTAGTTTTCACTCTATACTATAGGCAGCCTTTTTCCTTGATGGATTATTTCCTAAACATTAGTGATTAGAAGAATCCGATTACTCAAGACTAGCTTCACACTAAAATATAAGTAACTTTATCTACGTGCTACGACTAATGCAATACCTTTTGATTTTTTTGGGACAAGTAATAGGGAAAACCCTAGTATATGGTTACTACTTAGATTCCATGTGTTAGACAAAAACATACCATACAAATTTTCAACACCTATCTAATTAGCTCCCAACATCGCATCAACCATCGCAAAATCTAATCATTTCATTAGGTTAAGTGGTTGTATTGTATAATATGATTTTTGATTTATCGATCTAAGTCTATTCAACCTATTTTATCAATATAATCAATTCAAAAATACATGACAATTATCATGACTATTTGTTCAATATATACTCGCTCACACGAACGAGTATCAAATTAGCAAAAAAATTGTAGTATCTATTCATAGTTAATGAATCATTAGCAATTATAAATACTCATCAATTATCTAACAATGACATCCAACTCACACAAGCATACTTAAATCAATAAAATATTTTTTGAATTTTTTATTTTGTTTAAATTTTTTATGTTAAATCACT